CCGGAGCTGTAAGGTATGAAGAAATAAATCCCTCTTATGAATCACTTCTAATACCTCTAGAGATAGATTTGTGACTGTAATATTCCATCTCTCAGAGTTTGTTGTGTCCTCATAGAAACCTGCATTTAGCACGTTGACCTCAACAATGGAGTAGTGAATAAAGGTCTGATAAGTGATTGGTTGCTGGTCCTTCAACAGAGAATAAAATCATTTTCTCATGAGCTTGTATTTAAGATACAAATCAGACAAGCTAGAGTGTTTTTCCTCAAAAAAAATAGGGATTATTTACTCTCTTATAAATAAAAATAGAATATATATAATGTCATGTCATCAAGGAAATATTTTTTGATGTAAGGGTACATAGTCAAGAGAAATATATTGAAAGAAAACCCTAAGAAGATATTCCCCCTGTCCAAGTTTGATAAATCACTATCTTAAAAAAAAGCTTATGAAATAAAATTTCTGTATGAATGAGACATTTTATGTCAAATTTCAGCCAGTAGCCGAGAACATTTTCAATGTAATGTTAACAATTTGAAAAATATTGGAATAATTTTATACATTAATATTGTAGCTTTGAAAAGCTAAACTCCATAATCATTTTTCCTTTGGAAACACTCCATTCCATTTTATTTTTATAAGCACCTTATACAGAAATATGATAAGGTATTTCTGTTAACAGTGATAAATAGATTTATTAAATAATTAGCATGCAGATAGAGGAAAGCTATATGTCTTGCAGAAAATCTAAAATTATTACTGGGAGCAAAATGACATTCATATATTTTAAATGATATCAGAAATTGCAGATGCCAAGCACATTCACGATAAGGGCACAATTCAGTCATAGATTAGATATGGACATGGTGCTAGCATTTTAGTGTGAGAATAATTTTGGTAATAGAAATGTGAGCAAACCTATGAGGATTTAGAAAGGCCAGATAAGGCATAAAATATATTCTGGCTGCAGCAAGGTAACAGAGTCAAACTAGGAAAAGGATTTAGAATTGTAGATTATTCATGACCTGCAAAAAGACATAGTGACACACAGAAGACTCTTACTAATAAAAATGGAGATGATGATACACCCATTTACTAAATGCCCTGAGGGTACCAAGTATTATATTAGACATATAAAAGGCCAAGTGCTCCTCTCTCTGCACTATGAAAGAAATATCAGAATGTCCCTGAAGATAGATCAAGCATAAGCTTGTGAGTTTTGTTTTAATAAAAGGAGTGGTTGACAGAGACACTGGAAATTAATGACCAAATAAATTAGTGACCAAATTTTCTCCTTTGCTATAACCACAAACAGACTCCATTTTTCTGTCAGAAAAAAAAGAAAGAAAAGAAACCCTGGATATTTGGGATGACAGCCAAATTACTCTTTAGGTATATTCACCTTCAGAATAGCCAGGAGGGAGGAAACATGAAAATATGACAATAAACTGAAGTTTTAGAGATGAAGTGTTCTATACGTAGTAAAGAACTACATGAAAAATGGTTATGATTGTAATATGACTTTGTGACTTCCAACATGCTTTCAGAATCCTGTTCTGATTTGAGTCAGATGTTTTCACATATCTACTATTGCCTTTAATATTCAAAAGGTTAATCATTCCCAGGAGAAACCAATATTCCAAAAGTGTAAGTGACTTGCCTCTAGTCCAGTGGTTCTCAACCTTGGCTGCACATTAGAATCACCTGGGAATCTTTTTAAAATCCTGATTTCTGGGCCTCATCCTCTGGAAATTCTGTTTTCTTTGTTATGGGGTGGGGCCACAACATTAGTAACAAAGAAACAGAATTTCCGGAGGATGAGGCCCAGAAATCAGGAGTTTAAAAAGATTCCCAGGTGATTCTAATGTGCATCCAAGGTTGAGAACCACTGCCTAGTCCAGTGATGGCGAACCTTTTGAGCTTGGCATGTCAGCATTTTGAAAAACCCTAACTTAACTCTGGTGCCTTGTCACATATAGAAATTTTTTGATATTTGCAACCATAGTAAAACAAAGACTTATATTTTTTATATTTATTTTATATATTTAAATGCCATTTAACAAAGAAAAATCAACCAAAAAAATGAGTTTGTGTGTCACCTCTGACACCCGTGTCATAGGTTCGCCATCACTGCACTAGAGGCTAAGCTGATTTCACCAAAGGGGTTCGGAGTGAGCTGCATCCCTCTGACTGAGCACTTCCGATGTGTCAAACACTGCTCAGGGAATTCTGGGTGAGGCCCAGGGGAGAAGCAAATGAAGAGGAGAGAGCCTGGTCCACTAATGGGCAGGTCCCAGGCCGACTGCTGGGGGCAGCACCTACAGGTCAGAAGGGCCCCGGCTGCTGTGGGGAACCCACAGGCAATCAGGTCCCAGCTCTTCACCAGGTGCAAGGAGCTGGTGTGGGACCTCAACCACTGAGGGGTGAGGGAATGTGCCCAGGATGCCATGGGCTGTGAGGGTGGGGCAGGTGTGTGAAGTCAGGTAGACAGCCTGAGTTTGGAGGCCACCTGACCCTCTGTGTGCTGTGCAGCCTCCCCTGGTCTGTCACGCACACAAACACATGCGTGTACACACATATACACAAATGCGTGCACACAGGCAACACCACATGCAGACCTGTCCCTGCCTCTCAGACCAGCAATGGGAAATGAGGCCCAGTGTGGACAGAAGGGTTCACCCAGGTCGTAGGAACTCGGCCCTCGGAACCCCAGCCTGGGCCCCTTGCTGCCCCTTTGAAGATGTGCTGCTTACACAAACCACAGCCCCATCTCCACAGTTTCAAAGCAAAACAAGCCCCAAACTCCTGAGCAAGGTCCTGGGGGTTCTCTTGGAGGGGTGTGAGCAGCTCTCGGGGCGTCAGGCCTTGCCAGCGCTCACTCCTCTCCCATACTTCTCCCTTTGGGAGCAGAGCCTGAGTCTGCATGGGGTTCCACCCCAGCCTCTCCAGCAGCAGCTCCCGCCAGAGGGCTCTTCCCAGTCCCTGTGAGCATGTGGATGGGGATGGTGCAGTTCCTGTGGCGGCTCAGTAGGGTCGCCAATGAGTCTCCAGAGTCATGGCCCCATTTAACACCAAGCCTGCATAAGGCTGCCAGGAGAGGCAGGAGAACTCCATCTCCCCAGAGATCCATGGGCCTCACGTGGCCTGTGGAAACCCAAAAGTGTGAATGTCAATAAGCATCATGCATCAGCCCTCCGTGTTCATGGTCTGTGGGCTGACCTCTCCCCCCAATGTCCCCTGGGGCCCTGGAACCCCACTGACAGGGATGGTGGGAGAGCAGAGAGTGTTGGCTTCTTCTTCCTATCCCCACTCACTCAGCTTCCAGGCCCCATGGAAAGTGCTGGCGATGCAGATGCCTCGTCCATGAGATGGAGTCTTTGGGGAGCTCAAGGAAGAAGGTGGAGACAAGTAAGGAGAGGCACTCAGGACAGGGTGTGGTCAGTTCCACAAAGGAGGTCACTGAGGCCAGGGGAGCACAAAGGAGGGAGAAGGGGCGTTTTGGCTTCACACCGGGTGAGTGGGTTCTAGTCCTCACCCAGTGCAGACCCTCCTGGGCTTTGCTTCTTTTCCTCACCCTCACCCACCCTCCCTGTCTGCTGCCTCCTCTTTTCACCCCATGGTGCTACAGTCCCAAGGCACCCCGGACCCTCTTCGAAGGCTCCTGATTGTATATCCTTGAGATCCAACCTCAGCTGGGCCCTGGGACACCGTGTGAGCTCAGATCATCCTGCCAGGTGTCGCCTTCGGACCCCTTGGGGGGCCACCCTCCTCTATATCCTGGCTACACCACTGCTATCTGCTGTCAGTAGACACTCCTGGCCCCCACCTGAGCTTACAGAAGGAATAACAGGAGCAGGAAGAATTGGCACCAGTACCCACACACCAACCCCCTTACAGATCCGTGGGATGGGCATGACCCAAGAAGCCTAGAATTCAATGCTCAAATAACGGGTGTAGGGGCAGTGCCACTGTCACCGCAGTCTACAGTGGAGAAGGTGGCACAGAAGGATGACTAGATGGCCCACGATCATGGGAGCCCTGACTGCATCACCCACTGTCCTTGCCTTTTACCTGGGGAAGGGGGACCTAGTACCTGGTGGAGGTCGGATTCCACGGGGCTGAGTACCTGGCCCGGAACAGGACAGTCACAACCGTTGGCTATACATCATCATCATAGGGCCTGAGCTTCAGTACCGCACTCCACATGAGACACCCCCCACTCTGGTTGACTCTCCCCTCCTTTCTTAAAGGACATAAACACCACTCCAGCTATTATGTCCTCGTGTTTATGAAAACATACCCACTCTCAAAGACGAAGTCCAGGGGACAAAAGCTGCCTCCTGTTCACTCCCTTCCCAACCCAGTGTCCTGCCAGTGCCTGTGCACAGCTCCTCTCCTCTGCATTCCCTCCCTCTCTCTGGCTGGGGTGCCTTTCCCTGTGAGGACAGAGGCTCAATGAATGTTTAGGGTGTACATGAACCAGTGAGAAGGTTTTCTTTTTTCACTGTTTATTTTTCTACGTTCTTGAATAAGCTAAGAAAATCCAGGTGTGTGTGTGTGTGTGTGTGTGTGTGTGTGTGTGTGTGTATGATACAAGAATTCAAAAATTAACTATTTTATCTGTTTTACAGATAAGTTCTTTCACATTAAAAATATACTATTCCAATTCCATGTTATCTTGTTACAGACTACAAATAAAATGACAGATTTCTAATTAGTTTTACAAAATAGTAAAGCTCTTTCTCTTTAGTTAAATAACAATAAACATGTGACCTGTGTCATCTGTAAACTTGGGTTCTTAAGCTAATAAACATTCTACTTAAATTAACATTTTAAAATACCAAAAATAAAATAAGATGCATTTCTAAGTCACCCCAATGGAACAGAGACACAAAGATGTCATTCACTATGATTCCCTCATCCCCAGTCAGGCCCTGCACTAAGTGCTTAGATCACGACTGCCCACCTAAAACACAGAGTAAAGAAATCTGCCCTGGATTTCACTCAGGGAAGAAGAAGCTACTGTCCATGGCAGAACAGCTTGCACTGGCCATGGCAGTAGTATCATCTGTGGTGCTAACTCTGGCCTGGGCTCTCTGTTCCTCCTCTCTCAAAACCTCCTGATACCAGTGTGTGTAGGACCTGGGGTCATTCCCATTGACCTGGGCCAAAAACTCCAGGACTTTCAACTTGGTGGTCTCAGCGTGGGCCCTGGGACCCCACAGGAACTCATACCGTGCAGGATCGCTGTTGGGCACCTGCCGGTACTCCAGGTACTGTTCCTGCACCCAAACTCTGGTGAGGAGCTCTCTGGGCTCCCCATAGATGCTATGCTCCATCCCAGCATGCACCCCCATGGCATTCAGTGCTTCCCATATCCTCTCTTCGGGGACACAATCATCCTCCGAGAAGATTATACTAAGGATGAGTATCAGAAGGCCAGTCTTGGGCATACTGTGCTCATCGCTCACCATCCCATCATAGGTGAGGCCCAGGTTGGTGACTAGGACATAGGTGTGGCTGGTGGGGTCCACTTCCTTCACATCAATGCCATAAACCAGCTGCATGCACTCAGTGGCCTTCCTAAAGATTACAGCAAAGTGGTCCTGGTGCTCTCTGATGATGCTACTCAGCATTTCTGCCCTTGTGGTCAGCTCCTTTGTGCGATACTTCAGGAGCAGGAACCCTACCAGATCAGCTACCTTATCATTAATCACGTATCTGGGCAAGGACTCTGTACCTGGCAGGGCCCAGGAGGTACTCAGACCCTCCCCTTCTTCGCTGATGGATTGGCTCAAGGGAGCAGCAGCGGCAAAGGCAGTAGGGGAGGCATGGGCACTTGGAGAGCTCCGGGGAGGATTCGATGCCCCAGCAGCAGCATGAACCTCCTCCTCCTCCTCATTCTCCTCCTCCTCCCCATTCTCCTCCTCCTCCTTCTCCTCCTCCTCCGAGGTGCTTGGGTTACTTGAAAGCAGAGGATAGCAAGAGGAAGAGGTGGAGGAGGAGAAAGAGGAAGCAAAAGAGTTGGAGGAGGAGGAGGAGGAAGAATCCTCTTCCACAGCCTCGGGAATCTCAAGCGAGTAGCGTCGACGCTTTGGAACTCGAGGCATGATGACTCGTGTCAGGCGGCCACAGGAGTGCGGGCAGGAGGGGAGCAATGAGGACTCACAGGCCTGGGGGAGAGAGGAAGGGTAAGTGGCCTCAGCTGAGTACACCCTTGGCAGCTGTGAGAAAGTGGGACTACAGGTCTCCTCTTTAGGGGTGCTCTTGGGCCTCACTGGGGCCTCTCCTCCTGGGTGGCCTGTCCCCTAAGATCCTGAATGCGGAAGTCAGATGGTTCTTCGGGGTACAGTCGGCATAGGCCAGGGTTCTGTGGCTGGCAGTGGGGTGGGGTCGGGTACTGAGGGAGTTCTCATCTATTCTGGCATGGGGGAGACCCTAGGGACACATTCTAGGTCAGGGCAGGCACCTCACCTTGACTGCTGGCACTGCCTGGACCTCCTCTGCTCTGTGACCTGTGTTTTGTGCCTCAGACCTAGGCCTTTATCTCCTGGTTCCTGGAGCACCTGTAAGAGGAAACGAGGAAACACCTCAGCGTGCAGGTGGCATGCACAGCCATGGGCCTCCAGTACTGACAAGAGGGAGGCCAGGATGCTGTGAGGTCCCCACTCTTCTGGGCTGGATGGTCTCTTGCGTCCTCCCTCAGCATCCTCTCCTTTCCCCTGGCAGGGCAGGGAACCTCCCCTTGCTGGACCTGAGGCAAAACTCTCAGAACAAGGCTACATACCCCTGAAACTGAACAGAAGAAAGTGAGCAGGCCCCGCAACAGACCACACCTGCCCAGAACCTCCCACGGGATACAGTATGACATGGCCAAACTCTGTGGGGTCTATCCGTCCTGGGACGGGGAGTCCCCTCAGTCCTAACTGTGACATCTGACAGGGTCTTGGATAACTTCCTGTGCTGACCTGAGGCCACTTACCTTCAGACTGAAAAGCTCACCTTCCTGACTCACTGGTGGAGGACGTGAGGGACAGCACGGCTAGCCACCATGTTCCACTTTCTCTCGTGGCTGACAGAAGTGGCAAAGTAAGGCTGGGACTCCCCCTGTTGTGATGTGAGGGGTTTCCTCAGTCCTCAGCTGAACCTTGAAAAGAGACAGCAAGACTCGGGAGCACGGGAGGAGCATTAGGGTTCCTTCTGTCTTTCCTCAGATTGCTCACCTGCAAAGAGGTCAGGGCCCGGGCCACCTCCCGCTCCTCCTTTGCTGACCTGCATGTGCTCCCCTCAGTCCAGGTCTCTCACCTACCTGAGACCCCCTCCCCACCCCCCAGCCACATCAGAGTGCTCTCAGTTGGACAGCCCTGCCTGCTGTGTCAGAGCTGAAAGTGGAAGTGGGGTGCCTGTCCGTGAGGCCCACATTTGTTCTGGAGGACAATTCCCCCTCCTTCCTCCCGCATGGTCAATAGCTTGGCCACCTGCAGTGCCCGAGTGTCCTGGCTCTGCTGTCCATACGCCTCACCCTTTGTGTAAGGCCCCACCTCTTTCATCTTCCTGAGAGCAAAGGGAGCGGGAGAAGCCATGGGAAAGCGATTCCAGAAATCCCAGGGCTGAGCGCAGGTGCGGGCGTCTGTGGGGTTCCCACTGTGGTGGGATCCAAGGTTCCCTCAGTTCTCCCTTAGGATCCTCCCTTGACTCTGGCAGGTGCTGGCCCCACCCTCTGCTGATGTGAGGTCCTGCTCTTTATACCCAAGCCCCAGACTGTCAGACCCAGATGCACCAATGAGGAAATGCCCCCTAGGATCATCCTCCACGAGGCCTGCTGGATGGACTGTGGAGGGCCCTGGGCCCACCCTCTGCCGTTCTCAAGTATTGTTCCCGGTACCGACCCGGTTGTGCAAGTCAGCGCATGCTGTGTGTGGTCATCCTCCAGCGGGATCCCAGCACTGACTCTGGTTTGGTTTCCAGGGTCCCTGCGTCCTCCCTCAGGGTCCTCACCTTGGCTCTGGCAGGTCCCTGGCCCACCATCTGCCGAGATGGGGTCCTCCTCCCTGTACGGAACCCCCAGAGTCTCTGAGACCAGGACTGACTCTGGTCTAGCTTCCAGGGTCCCTGGCCCACCATCTGCCTAGATGGGGTCCTCCTCCCTGTATGGAACCCCCAGAGTCTCTGAGACCAGGACTGACTCTGGTCTAGCTTCCAGGGTCCCTGGCCCACCATCTGCCTAGATGGGGTCCTCCTCCCTGTACTGAACCCCCAGAGTCTCTGAGACCGAGACTGGAAGCGGAAGGGAGGAAGGGGGTGTGGTCATCCTCCCACCTGGCCCCCATCTGCTCTGGCAGGTGCTGGCCCCGCCCTGTGCTGACGGGGGTACTCATCCTCACAGCCACCCCCAGAGACTCTCAGACCCGCCTGCGGAGGTCAGGTAATGTCCCGCGTGTCCCCCTCCCGAGTCCTGCGGGCTGGCTCTGTGGGGGTCTGGGGTCCTCCCATCCCCTACTGCCAGCTGACCGGGACTCTCGGAAGCTGCTCTGCCCTCCATGAGGAGGAGAGGCCCAGCTCCTTACCACCGCCCCTTCCTTACCACCGCCCCTTCCCTGCCCCCGCAGTGCAGTCGGGACACCCCGCATGGCCACCTGCCACGGGGCCCCTCGCGGAGGACAGCAGGGGCACCTGTGCGGCTTCCCGCTGCGGTGCGGTGGGACCCGGCTGCTCACCGGGACTCCCGCAGGGCCCGGCCCCCCTCAGCCCAGGTGAGGTCCGCCCCACCCAGCCAAGCCCCGCAAGGCCCGCGTCATGGGAGCCCAGGGGAAGGTCAGAGAGGCTGCCTACCACTGTGGGCTTCACCCCCTGCGGGCCCGGGGCTGGATCTGCTCCTGACGGCAGAGGCCCTGGGTCCAGCCCCGTCTGAGGGACCCGGGTGGCCTCGGGGCCTCCTCCCACGCAGCGGCCCGTCACATGGACCCTGGAAGCCCTGGGCCCGCCTGGGCCCTGAGGACGGACGCGCCTCGCCCCTCACCCCCGAGTCCCCAGACCTGGCTGCGCCAACCACGACCGGCTGCGTGTGGTCACCCCCAGGGGCTCCCAGGACGGAAACCGTTGTCCCAGGGCCCGGGGTCCCTCGCCCTCCCTGGCACCCTCACCTGGACTCGGGCGGGTCCCGGGCCGCCCTCAGGATGTGAGCACGTTCAGGATCTCCTGGGCATCCCCAGGGTCTCAGAGACCCGGATGCAGAAGTGAGGAACGTGCTGGGGCAAGGTCTCTGAGACCCGGATGAGGCGTGTGTGGTCCCCCTCCCAGAAGCCCTTCCATGCTGAGCCTGTGGTGGGGGCAGGGTCTCTTCCGCCCCCGCTGCTCACCCTGACTCTAGGCAGCTTCTGCCCCCCTCTGCTAACCAGAAGCCCTGCTCTTGATGGGTGTCCCCGCCTGAGGCCGTCCTGGAAGGCAGGTGGACCCGAACAGAATCGGAGGTTCTGCTGCCTGCCTCAAGGACAGCCAAAAGCAGGGGGCGGGTGCTGCCGAGAAAGGAAAGGGTTGATTCCCGAGTCACCTGACCTGGGCCAATGGTGGACTCCTGTCCCAAAGACCACTGTCCTCCTCCTACCTAAGCCCGCCTTTCTTGTTGTCTTCATTGCCAACCGTGTTACAGAGGTCCCCTATTCCTCATGGACCCCTTCCAGCCGGAACCAGCCCCTGCCCCAGGCCTTCACTACACTATTGCCTGTGTCCATGGGTTATGCACCCAAGTTCTTTCTACATCTCAGGATCTATTTTCTTCATCAGTTAATTTGCTCTTTGGACCCCACATATGAGTGAGATCCTGTGACACTTGCCTTTCTGGCTTATTTTGCTTAGCGTAATAGCCCCTGGGTCCCTCCATGATGTCTCAAAGGGCAACAGAGCCTTCTTTTTTACTGCTGTATAGTGTTCCATGGTATAGATGTACCACAGCTTTTTTACCCACTCATCTGCTGATGGGCACTTAGGCTGTTTCCAGATCTTAGCTATTGTAAATTGTGCTGCTACGACTATAGGGGTGCGTATATTCTTCCTGATTGGTGTTTCGGGTTCCTTGGGATATATTTCCAGAAGTGGGATTACTGGGTCAAATGGGAGTTCTATTTTTAATTTTTTGAGGAAACTCCATACTGTTTTCCACAGTGGCTGCACAAGTCTGCATTCCTACCAGCAGTGTACTAGGGCTCCCGTTTTTCCACATCCTTGCCAGCACTTGTCATTTGTTGATTGGTTGATGGTAGCTATCCTAACAGGTGTGAGGTGATACCTCATTGTCATTTTAATCTGCACCTCTCCGGTGATCAGGGACTTTGAGTATTTTATCATGTGTCTTTTAGCCATCTGTATGTCCACTTTGGAGAAGTGTCCATTTAGTCCTTTGCCCATTTTAAAATTGGATTGTCTTCCTTTTGTTAAGTTGTATGAGTTCCTCATATATTTTTGGTTATTAACCCTTTACCTGATGAACATATTGGCAAATATGTTCTTCCATACATGAGCTCCCTTTTCATTTTGTTGATGTTGTCTTTTGCTGTGCACAAGCTTTGTATTTTGATATAGTCCCATTTGTTTATTTTCTCTTTTGTTTCCCTTATCCTAGGTCTTAGGAGATGCATTGGCGAACATATTGCTAACAGAGATGTCTGAGATTTTGCTGCCTTTGGTTTCTTCTAGGATTTTTATGGTTTCACAACTGATGCTTAAGCCTTTAATCCATTTTGAGTTTATTCTTGTGTATGATGCAAGTTGGTGGTCGAGTTTCATTGTTTTGCATGTGCCTGTCCAACTTTCCCAACAGTGTTTATTGAAGAGCATGTCTTGATTCCATTGTATCCTCTTGTATCCTTTGTCAAATATTAATTGAATGTAATGTCTTGGGTTGATTTTTGGCATCTCTGTTTTGTTGCATTGATCTATATGCCTGTTCTTCTGCCAGTACCAAGCTGTTTTGATTACAGCGGTTTTGCAGTATAACTTGATATCTGACAGTGTGATCACTCCAACTTTGTTCTTCTTTCTCAAGATGGCTCTGGCTATTCAGGGTCTTTTTTGCTTCCATGTAAACTTTTAGAGTATTTGTTCTAGATCTGTA